CTGGTCACTTTTCTGCAAACCCATTTTTTGCAAATTTTGACAGGTCGGGGGTCATAAAAAACTACAAAATATTGACCAAAAATTCGAAAATAAACCAATAATGCAGCTAGATAGATATTTTAATAACAAATTCAGAGAGGTATTCCACTTTTAAATCGGGTAAAAATTTCAAAAGTTTGGGCTAAGCAGTGCTGGGATCTGGTCACTTTTCTGCAAACCCATTTTTTGCAAATTTTGACAGGTCGGGGGTCATAAAAAATTACAAAATATTGACCAAAAATTCGAAAATAAACCAATAATGCAGCTAGATAGATATTTTAATAACAAATTCAGAGAGGTATTCCACTTTTAAATCGGGTAAAAATTTCAAAAGTTTGGGCTAAGCAGTGCTGGGATCTGGTCACTTTTCTGCAAACCCATTTTTTGCAAATTTTGACAGGTCGGGGGTCATAAAAAATTACAAAATATTGACCAAAAATTCGAAAATAAACCAATAATGCAGCTAGATAGATATTTTAATAACAAATTCAGAGAGGTATTCCACTTTTAAATCGGGTAAAAATTTCAAAAGTTATGGGATAAGCAGTGCTGGGATCTGGTCACTTTTCTGCAAACCCATTTTTTTGCAAATTTTGACAGGTCGGGGGTCATAAAAAATTACAAAATATTGACCAAAAATTCGAAAATAAACCAATAATGCAGCTAGATAGATATTTTAACAACAAATTCAGAGAGGTATTCCACTTTTAAATCGGGTAAAAATTTCAAAAGTTTGGGCTAAGCAGTGCTGGGATCTGGTCACTTTTCTGCAAACCCATTTTTTGCAAATTTTGACAGGTCGGGGGTCATAAAAAATTACAAAATATTGACCAAAAATTCGAAAATAAACCAATAATGCAGCTAGATAGATATTTTAACAACAAATTCAGAGAGGTATTCCACTTTTAAATCGGGTAAAAATTTCAAAAGTTTGGGCTAAGCAGTGCTGGGATCTGGTCACTTTTCTGCAAACCCATTTTTTGCAAATTTTGACAGGTCGGGGGTCATAAAAAATTACAAAATATTGACCAAAAATTCGAAAATAAACCAATAATGCAGCTAGATAGATATTTTAATAACAAATTCAGAGAGGTATTCCACTTTTAAATCGGGTAAAAATTTCAAAAGTTTGGGCTAAGCAGTGCTGGGATCTGGTCACTTTTCTGCAAACCCATTTTTTGCAAATTTTGACAGGTCGGGGGTCATAAAAAACTACAAAATATTGACCAAAAATTCGAAAATAAACCAATAATGCAGCTAGATAGATATTCGAATAACAAATTCAGAGAGGTATTCCACTTTTAAATCGGGTAAAAATTTCAAAAGTTTGGGCTAAGCAGTGCTGGGATCTGGTCACTTTTCTGCAAACCCATTTTTTGCAAATTTTGACAGGTCGGGGGTCATAAAAAATGACGAAACATTGACCAAAAATTCGAAAATAAACCAATGATGTAGCTAGATAGATATTTTAATAACAAATTCAGAGAGGCATTCCACTTTTAAATCGGGTAAAAATTTCAAAAGTTATGGGATAAGCAGTGCTGGGATCTGGTCACTTTTCTGCAAACCCATTTTTTTGCAAATTTTGACAGGTCGGGGGTCATAAAAAACTACAAAATATTGACCAAAAATTCGAAAATAAACCAATAATGCAGCTAGATAGATATTTTAACAACAAATTCAGAGAGGTATTAAACTTTTAAATCGGGTAAAAATTTCAAAAGTTTGGGCTAAGCAGTGCTGGGATCTGGTCACTTTTCTGCAAACCCATTTTTTGCAAATTTTGACAGGTCGGGGGTCATAAAAAATTACAAAATATTGACCAAAAATTCGAAAATAAACCAATAATGCAGCTAGATAGATATTTTAATAACAAATTCAGAGAGGTATTCCACTTTTAAATCGGGTAAAAATTTCAAAAGTTTGGGATAAGCAGTGCTCGGATCTGGTCACTTTTCTGCAAACCCATTTTTTGCAAATTTTGACAGGTCGGGGGTCATAAAAAATTACAAAATATTGACCAAAAATTCGAAAATAAACCAATAATGCAGCTAGATAGATATTTTAATAACAAATTCAGAGAGGTATTCCACTTTTAAATCGGGTAAAAATTTCAAAAGTTTGGGCTAAGCAGTGCTGGGATCTGGTCACTTTTCTGCAAACCCATTTTTTGCAAATTTTGACAGGTCGGGGGTCATAAAAAACTACAAAATATTGACCAAAAATTCGAAAATAAACCAATAATGCAGCTAGATAGATATTCGAATAACAAATTCAGAGAGGTATTCCACTTTTAAATCTGGTAAAAATTTCAAAAGGTTTGGGATAAGCAGTGCTGGGATCTGGTCACTTTTCTGCAAACCCATTTTTTTGCAAATTTTGACAGGTCGGGGGTCATAAAAAATTACAAAATATTGACCAAAAATTCGAAAATAAACCAATAATGCAGCTAGATAGATATTTTAACAACAAATTCAGAGAGGTATTCCACTTTTAAATCGGGTAAAAATTTCAAAAGTTTGGGCTAAGCAGTGCTGGGATCTTGTCACTTTTCTGCAAACCCATTTTTTGCAAATTTTGACAGGTCGGGGGTCATAAAAAATTACAAAATATTGACCAAAAATTCGAAAATAAACCAATAATGCAGCTAGATAGATATTTTAACAACAATTTCAGAGAGGTATTCCACTTTTAAATCGGGTAAAAATTTCAAAAGTTATGGGCTAAGCAGTGCTGGGATCTGGTCACTTTTCTGCAAACCCATTTTTTTGCAAATTTTGACAGGTCGGGGGTCATAAAAAATTAAAAAATATTGACCAAAAATTCGAAAATAAACCAATAATGCAGCTAGATACCTCTCCGAATAACAAATTCAGAGAGGTATTCCACTTTTAAATCGGGTAAAAATTTCAAAAGGTTTGGGATAAGCAGTGCTGGGATCTGGTCACTTTTCTGCAAACCCATTTTTTGCAAATTTTAACAGGTAGGGGGTCATAAAAAATTACAAAATATTGACCAAAAATTCGAAAATAAACCAATAATGCAGCTAGATAGATATTTTAATAGCAAATTCAGAGAGGTATTCCACTTTTAAATCGGGTAAAAATTTCAAAAGGTTTGGGATAAGCAGTGCTGGGATCTGGTCACTTTTCTGCAAACCCATTTTTTGCAAATTTTGACAGGTCGGGGGTCATAAAAAACTACAAAATATTGACCAAAAATTCGAAAATAAACCAATGATGTAGCTAGATAGATATTTTAACAACAAATTCAGAGAGGTATTCCACTTTTAAATCGGGTAAAAATTTCAAAAGTTATGGGATAAGCAGTGCTGGGATCTGGTCACTTTTCTGCAAACCCATTTTTTTGCAAATTTTGACAGGTCGGGGGTCATAAAAAATTACAAAATATTGACCAAAAATTCGAAAATAAACCAATAATGCAGCTAGATAGATATTTTAACAACAAATTCAGAGAGGTATTCCACTTTTAAATCGGGTAAAAATTTCAAAAGTTTGGGCTAAGCAGTGCTGGGATCTGGTCACTTTTCTGCAAACCCATTTTTTGCAAATTTTGACAGGTCGGGGGTCATAAAAAATTACAAAATATTGACCAAAAATTCGAAAATAAACCAATAATGCAGCTAGATACCTCTCCGAATAACAAATTCAGAGAGGTATTCCACTTTTAAATCGGGTAAAAATTTCAAAAGGTTTGGGATAAGCAGTGCTGGGATCTGGTCACTTTTCTGCAAACCCATTTTTTGCAAATTTTAACAAGTCGGGGGTCATAAAAAACTACAAAATATTGACCAAAAATTCGAAAATAAACCAATAATGCAGCTAGATAGATATTTTAATAACAAATTCAGAGAGGTATTCCACTTTTAAATCGGGTAAAAATTTCAAAAGTTATGGGCTAAGCAGTGCCATTTTTTGCAAATTTTGACAGGTCGGGGGTCATAAAAAACTACAAAATATTGACCAAAAATTCGAAAATAAACCAATAATGCAGCTAGATAGATATTCGAATAACAAATTCAGAGAGGTATTCCACTTTTAAATCTGGTAAAAATTTCAAAAGTTTGGGCTAAGCAGTGCTGGGATCTGGTCACTTTTCTGCAAACCCATTTTTTTGCAAATTTTGACAGGTCGGGGGTCATAAAAAATGACGAAACATTGACCAAAAATTCGAAAATAAACCAATGATGTAGCTAGATAGATATTTTAATAACAAATTCAGAGAGGCATTCCACTTTTAAATCGGGTAAAAATTTCAAAAGTTATGGGATAAGCAGTGCTGGGATCTGGTCACTTTTCTGCAAACCCATTTTTTTGCAAATTTTGACAGGTCGGGGGTCATAAAAAATTACAAAATATTGACCAAAAATTCGAAAATAAACCAATAATGCAGCTAGATAGTGTTGGGGTGTAGGCGGCGGGTCTTCCTTCCTTCTCAATTGTGAATTTAGGGTAGAATTAAAACGCGGGCGAAACTTCGTTTGAACGTTATAAAAAACTTCACTTTATTTCTGCGACTTCGCGCTCACACTTGGAAATTAGAACTAACTTAAGCTACGGGGTGGAAACTTTTTGAGCCGCTCCGAGAGCGGATTGGAGACCCTTAACAGTGCCAGAGAGCGAGATGCTAGTGATCTGGAAGAACTGCTCTCACGACTGTTAAGACTCCAGGGGCGGTTCAAAAAGGACTGGAAAGCGCCGCTCTGGCGCGAACATTCCTATTGCGAAAACAATTTTCTCCAAACGACCACTAGAGACGCAAGCGGGAGATACGTAGTATCTTTACCATTTCGCGAGCCTGAAAATCTCGGGTCCCAATTGGGGCACTCGCGATCCAGTGCCCTAGCTCAGTTTCTTAGAAATGAAAACCGTTTGAAGAGAGACTTTCCATTAAAAGAGCAGTATGACTCAGTCATTCAAGAGTATTTGGATCTGGGTCATATGAGAGAAATTCCCCCGTCGTACGATTCTCCAAACTATTACCTGCCACACCACGCGGTGATCAAACCCGAGAGCACTACCACCAAACTTCGCGTGGTATTCAATGCTTCTAGCCCTTCATCCAATGGGACAAGCTTGAACGACATTCTTCATGCTGGTCCAGTCCTACAATCTGATTTAACCATTCAGATATTGAAGTGGCGTTATTTCCAGTACGTGTTCAGCGCAGATATCACCAAGATGTACCGTCAAATCTGGGTCGACCCCAAACATACGCCGTTCCAGAGAATCTTATTCCGGAATAAAGAAGGAGAAGTAAGCGATTTCGAGTTAAAAACAGTCACCTTTGGTGTTAACTGTGCACCATTTCTGGCACTCCGCGTACTCCAACAATTGGCAGACGACGTGGAAAAGGACTTCCCTTCAGCAAGCAATATTATTCGTCACTTTATGTACGTAGACGACGTTCTGGCAGGGACCACTTCCATACAAGAGGCTCGACTGGCAATCAGCGAACTTCGCCACGCTTTCAGCAGCGCAAGGTTCCCATTGAGAAAGTGGACGGCCAACCAGAAGAGCATACTCGAAGACATCCCAAACGAGCATTTACTCCACGAGGACTTTCGCGATCTTCATTCCGAAAGCTTTGCCAAAACACTGGGCGTTCGGTGGAATGCGACCTCGGACGAGTTCTGTTTTGTTCCACCGCCAGTGTCGATTAAATCCACTCATACAAAGAGAGAGGTTCTTTCCCAAATTGCGTAGCTTTTTGACCCAGCCGGATGGCTGTCTCCGTTTATTGTCCGCTCAAAAATCTTTATGCAAGAAATTTGGTTGCAGGAGTTGGGCTGGGATGAAAATATCCCCACAGAAATGGATCAAAGATGGCAAGATTTTTTGCGCAGCTATTCCGAGCTTGAGCAGATCCGCATTCCAAGGTGGGTTGGTTTCCAGCCAGGAGTGAAGGTAGAGCATCACGGGTTTTGTGATGCGTCTCAGAAGGCTTATGGGGCCGCTATATACTTGCGGGTGGAAGTAGGCCACAACATTATGACACGTCTGCTTACCGCCAAAACCCGAGTCGCCCCTGTTAAAACGGTGTCCCTTCCACGGCTCGAGCTGTGTGGGGCATTGCTGTTGTCAGAGATGATTGCAGCTGTCCTTCCGAATATGCCAATTTCCAATTCCGACATTTTCTGCCGGACCGATTCCACCATCGTCCTCGCATGGTTGAGCAAGCCGGCATGCCACTGGACCACGTTTGTCGCCAACCGGGTGACAAAAATTACTCAGGTAACGAGCGCTGAGCATTGGGCGCATGTGCGATCTGAGTACAATTCCGCGGACCTGGCCAGTCGAGGCGTTTCGCTGCGGGAGCTGGTTCATAGCCAACTCTGGTGGGAAGGACCGGACTGGTTGCAACAGCCGAAGGACATGTGGCCAACACGGGAGCTAGGACCTCCAGTCACAGACATAGAGCAGCGTGCTGTGAAGGTCAATTTCGCCAAGGCCCCATCCGAAGATTTTTTGGAACGTTTCTCCGCGTTGGACAAGGCTCTGCGGGTCCTTGCGTACGTAATACGGTTCACTCAACGCTGCCGCAAGATGCCGAGGGACGCTGCTGAGCGACCCACCAAGGAAGAGGTCCAAGAAGCTGAAAGAGTCCTCATTCGAAATGCTCAGCGGGGAGAATATACCCAAGAGCTCAAAGTCCTAAACGATAAGCGTTCGATTCCAGTTTCCAGCCCGATCGCCAACCTGTTTCCATTTCTAGACCAACAAGGCCTGTTAAGGGCATGTGGGCGCATTACGGCCTCAACGGCCCTCCAGTACGACGAGCGGCATCCTATTATACTGCCATACAACTGTCGGTTAGCTCGTCTTCTCGTCCTTTTTTCACACCAGATTTCCCTGCATGGCGGCAACCAACTAGTGGTACGCCTCATCCGATCGAAGTATTGGATTCCTAAAATCAAAAATCTGGTAAAAGCTGTGCTGAATTCCTGTAAGGTGTGTACTATTTACAGGAAGAGAGTCCAGACGCAATTGATGGGCGATCTCCCTACCGATCGAGTTTCCTTTTCCAGGCCATTCACATATACGGGCATGGATTATGCAGGCCCGTTTGAAATTAAAAACTATACTGGCAGAGCATGCCTTATTACCAAGGGATATGTTTGCGTGTTTGTGTGTTTTTCCACGAAGGCTATCCATTTAGAGCCTACGTCCGACCTGACAACGGAGAAGTTCCTCGCGGCATTTGCCCGATTCCTCGCAAGAAGAGGTTGTCCACAGCGAGTCCATTCGGATAATGGCAAAACCTTTGTGGGGGCAGCGACTCTACTTTCTAGAGATTTCATGCAGACGATCAAGGAGTCTGTAGCTGGAACCTATAGCCATCAGGGACTTGTGTGGCGGTTCATTCCACCAGGGGCTCCACATATGGGAGGATTGTGGGAGGCTGGAGTAAAGAGCTTCAAGGCACTCTTTTACAAGTCGACGTCAAGTCGGAAGTACACGTTTGAAGAGTTCGCCACGCTTCTCGCCAAAGTTGAAGCCTGCCTTAATTCCAGGCCGCTGTCTCCCATGTCCGAAAATCCAACTGAGTTATTGGCATTGACGCCAGGCCATTTTCTGATTGGGGGACCTTTGCTTTCAACAGCTGAACCTGAAATTAAGGGCGATGCTCAGTCAATTATAAATCGCTGGCAGCACTTAAAGGCCCTACATCAGCAGTTCAGTGCGCGATGGAAGGAGGAGTACTTAAAGGAACTTCACAAGCGCAATAAGTGGCCGACTCCTTCCAGAGATATCCAAGTCGATGACATGGTGGTCGTCAAAGAAGACAACATGCCCTCAAACGAATGGCGGCTCGGCAGAGTTGTATCTGTTCTTCCAGGAGCTGATAGTAGAGTTCGCGTAGTTGAGATCCGTACTGCTCGAGGGACTATAACACGTCCCATCCACAAACTAGTACTTCTTCCTATGGAGGACCAGGCAACCTCCGCCTTTCCGAAATAATGCATTCTGTCCTCCGCTTTTCCCCCAATTCCAGTGGGTCAACTGCCGGAAATAGTTCTTCTGCAAGCCCACAAAATCCAGCTGTACAGAGGGCCGCCAACGCTTCAGAAAATCTGCCCGGTATGCAGAATTATTTCGCAACCGGTGCCAGAGCGGTTTTACTAGGTACGGCCATCATTGACATTTGCCACTTGGGCACGAACTACAGGGCTCGCGCTCTAATAGACTCGGGTTCTGAGGCTACGTTTATTACGGAACGCCTGTTCAATTTAATTAAGCTGCCATTCCGCCTCATCCAAGCCCAAGTTTCGGGCTTAAATAAGACCATTTCCGCTCAGGCGACCAGGCTCTGCCATTTTTCGATTCGAGCTCCTAATAAGCCAGGCCTTCAGCTAGAAACCGCAGCTTACGTTCTGCCTGAATTGGCCGGAACGCTACCGTCCTATCCAATCCCACGAGATGCGCTGAGTGATTTACCTGCTATCCCCCTGGCAGATCCTACATTTCTTGAGAGCTCCCAGATAGATGTTCTGATCGGAGCCGACATGTTACCATCCGTTCTGCTGAGCGGCATGCGCACAAACATTTGTGGCTCTCTCCTAGGTCAAGAAACTATTTTTGGCTGGGTGCTTACCGGCCCAGTTTCAAGTACATCTAGTCAGAATCGAGTATCCGCTTTCACGACCCAGATAACCGAAACAATTGACAAACTTGAAGAAACGCCGAAAGGGCAACTTATGGAGCAGAGTCAGCTGGACCGAGCTCAGTCAGCAGCAGTTACGTGGCGGTACAAATCCCCGGTTTGTGTGTCCCCCGGGAGTACGCGTTACAATATCTGAGTCGTATTTGACAGAAAAAACTTTCGAAGGCGCCTACACGCCATAGAAGCAAACAAAACCGGCAACAAAAATTGAAGAAAATGAGTGTTTTACGGGTACAAGATGGTACACAACAAAAGCTTATGAAAAATGAGAGAAATCGAAACGATGGAAAAACGTTAGAGAACGTACGTCTACAATGTGGTTAATGGAAAACGCCTATAAAGAGAAGGGTTTATCCGGCTCGAAGGACCAAATGTTGGGGTGTAGGCGGCGGGTCTTCCTTCCTTCTCAATTGTGAATTTAGGGTAGAATTAAAACGCGGGCGAAACTTCGTTTGAACGTTATAAAAAACTTCACTTTATTTCTGCGACTTCGCGCTCACACTTGGAAATTAGAACTAACTTAAGCTACGGGGTGGAAACTTTTTGAGCCGCTCCGAGAGCGGATTGGAGACCCTTAACAGTGCCAGAGAGCGAGATGCTAGTGATCTGGAAGAACTGCTCTCACGACTGTTAAGACTCCAGGGGCGGTTCAAAAAGGACTGGAAAGCGCCGCTCTGGCGCGAACAGATAGATATTTTAACAACAAATTCAGAGAGGTATTCCACTTTTAAATCGGGTAAAAATTTCAAAAGTTTGGGCTAAGCAGTGCTGGGATCTGGTCACTTTTCTGCAAACCCATTTTTTGCAAATTTTGACAGGTCGGGGGTCATAAAAAATTACAAAATATTGACCAAAAATTCGAAAATAAACCAATAATGCAGCTAGATAGATATTTTAACAACAAATTCAGAGAGGTATTCCACTTTTAAATCGGGTAAAAATTTCAAAAGTTATGGGCTAAGCAGTGCTGGGATCTGGTCACTTTTCTGCAAACCCATTTTTTGCAAATTTTGACAGGTCGGGGGTCATAAAAAACTACAAAATATTGACCAAAAATTCGAAAATAAACCAATAATGCAGCTAGATAGATATTTTAATAACAAATTCAGAGAGGTATTCCACTTTTAAATCGGGTAAAAATTTCAAAAGTTATGGGCTAAGCAGTGCTGGGTTCTGGTCACTTTTCTGCAAACCCATTTTTTGCAAATTTTGACAGGTCGGGGGTCATAAAAAATTAAAAAATATTGACCAAAAATTCGAAAATAAACCAATAATGCAGCTAGATAGATGTTTTAATAGCAAATTCAGAGAGGTATTCCACTTTTAAATCGGGTAAAAATTTCAAAAGGTTTGGGATAAGCAGTGCTGGGATCTGGTCACTTTTCTGCAAACCCATTTTTTGCAAATTTTAACAAGTCGGGGGTCATAAAAAATTAAAAAATATTGACCAAAAATTCGAAAATAAACCAATAATGCAGCTAGATAGATATTTTAATAACAAATTCAGAGAGGTATTCCATTTTTAAATCGGGTAAAAATTTCAAAAGTTATGGGCTAAGCAGTGCTGGGATCTGGTCACTTTTCTGCAAACCCATTTTTTGCAAATTTTGACAGGTCGGGGGTCATAAAAAATTACAAAATATTGACCAAAAATTCGAAAATAAACCAATAATGCAGCTAGATAGATATTCGAATAACAAATTCAGAGAGGTATTCCACTTTTAAATCGGGTAAAAATTTCAAAAGTTATGGGATAAGCAGTGCTGGGATCTGGTCACTTTTCTGCAAACCCATTTTTTTGCAAATTTTGACAGGTCGGGGGTCATAAAAAATTACAAAATATTGACCAAAAATTCGAAAATAATCCAATAATGCAGCTAGATAGATATTCGAATAACAAATTCAGAGAGGTATTCCACTTTTAAATCGGGTAAAAATTTCAAAAGTTTGGGCTAAGCAGTGCTGGGATCTGGTCACTTTTCTGCAAACCCATTTTTTGCAAATTTTGACAGGTCGGGGGTCATAAAAAACTACAAAATATTGACCAAAAATTCGAAAATAAACCAATAATGCAGCTAGATAGATATTTTAATAACAAATTCAGAGAGGTATTCCACTTTTAAATCGGGTAAAAATTTCAAAAGTTATGGGCTAAGCAGTGCTGGGATCTGGTCACTTTTCTGCAAACCCATTTTTTGCAAATTTTGACAGGTCGGGGGTCATAAAAAATTACAAAATATTGACCAAAAATTCGAAAATAAACCAATAATGCAGCTAGATAGATATTTTAATAACAAATTCAGAGAGGTATTCCACTTTTAAATCGGGTAAAAATTTCAAAAGTTATGGGCTAAGCAGTGCTGGGATCTGGTCACTTTTCTGCAAACCCATTTTTTGCAAATTTTGACAGGTCGGGGGTCATAAAAAACTACAAAATATTGACCAAAAATTCGAAAATAAACCAATAATGCAGCTAGATAGATATTCGAATAACAAATTCAGAGAGGTATTCCACTTTTAAATCGGGTAAAAATTTCAAAAGTTATGGGCTAAGCAGTGCTGGGATCTGGTCACTTTTCTGCAAACCCATTTTTTGCACATTTTGACAGGTCGGGGGTCATAAAAAACTACAAAATATTGACCAAAAATTCGAAAACAAACCAATAATGCAGCTAGATAGATATTTTAATAACAAATTCAGAGAGGTATTCCACTTTTAAATCGGGTAAAAATTTCAAAAGTTTGGGCTAAGCAGTGCTGGGATCTGGTCACTTTTCTGCAAACCCATTTTTTGCAAATTTTGACAGGTCGGGGGTCATAAAAAATGACGAAACATTGACCAAAAATTCGAAAATAAACCAATAATGCAGCTAGATAGATATTTTAATAACAAATTCAGAGAGGTATTCCACTTTTAAATCGGGTAAAAATTTCAAAAGTTATGGGCTAAGCAGTGCTGGGTTCTGGTCACTTTTCTGCAAACCCATTTTTTGCAAATTTTGACAGGTCGGGGGTCATAAAAAATTACAAAATATTGACCAAAAATTCGAAAATAAACCAATAATGCAGCTAGATAGATATTTTAATAACAAATTCAGAGAGGTATTCCACTTTTAAATCGGGTAAAAATTTCAAAAGTTATGGGCTAAGCAGTGCTGGGATCTGGTCACTTTTCTGCAAACCCATTTTTTGCAAATTTTGACAGGTCGGGGGTCATAAAAAACTACAAAATATTGACCAAAAATTCGAAAATAAACCAATAATGCAGCTAGATAGATATTCGAATAACAAATTCAGAGAGGTATTCCACTTTTAAATCGGGTAAAAATTTCAAAAGTTATGGGCTAAGCAGTGCTGGGATCTGGTCACTTTTCTGCAAACCCATTTTTTGCACATTTTGACAGGTCGGGGGTCATAAAAAACTACAAAATATTGACCAAAAATTCGAAAACAAACCAATAATGCAGCTAGATAGATATTTTAATGACAAATTCAGAGAGGTATTCCACTTTTAAATCGGGTAAAAATTTCAAAAGTTTGGGCTAAGCAGTGCTGGGATCTGGTCACTTTTCTGCAAACCCATTTTTTGCAAATTTTGACAGGTCGGGGGTCATAAAAAATGACGAAACATTGACCAAAAATTCGAAAATAAACCAATGATGTAGCTAGATAGATATTTTAATAACAAATTCAGAGAGGCATTCCACTTTTAAATCGGGTAAAAATTTCAAAAGTTATGGGATAAGCAGTGCTGGGATCTGGTCACTTTTCTGCAAACCCATTTTTTGCAAATTTTGACAGGTCGGGGGTCATAAAAAATTACAAAATATTGACCAAAAATTCGAAAATAAACCAATAATGCAGCTAGATAGATATTTTAACAACAAATTCAGAGAGGAATTCCACTTTTAAATCGGGTAAAAATTTCAAAAGTTTGGGCTAAGCAGTGCTGGGATCTGGTCACTTTTCTGCAAACCCATTTTTTGCAAATTTTAACAGGTCGGGGGTCATAAAAAATGACGAAACATTGACCAAAAATTCGAAAATAAACCAATGATGTAGCTAGATAGATATTTTAATAACAAATTCAGAGAGGCATTCCACTTTTAAATCGGGTAAAAATTTCAAAAGTTATGGGCTAAGCACTGCTGGGTTCTGGTCACTTTTCTGCAAACCCATTTTTTGCAAATTTTGACAGGTCGGGGGTCATAAAAAATTACAAAATATTGACCAAAAATTCGAAAATAAACCAATAATGCAGCTAGATAGATATTTGAATAACAAATTCAGAGAGGTA